TCAGGAATCAATACCTAGTATTATATTCATGCAGCAGACAAATGTTCATAATTGACATTAATAAAGTTAGTTCTGACTTTGTGTTTAAATTTATTCACCTTAAGGAAAAGATGCTGTACATCTTCAAAACATAGTGTTACGATGTTAGCATGTCATAGACAGAAAGAAATGTTTGCATTACACAGCCTTAACTAAAACCACAAACATTAATTAGTGGCCAACTTCGATAAATGAATGAGTTTTATTTCACAGCTACATTTTGCAGCAATGTGAGCAATTCCATCACAGCTGATAGAGCTTTTAGAACTTTCTTGATTGTATGCATACCAATAAACCCAGGTACCTCTCTACAAGCCAGCATGAAGATGCAGCTTCATTTTTATCTAATACCAACAACTCCTATTCAACTCCTGTTTGAGACGAATACTTAGCAAATACATTAATAACACATGCCAACAAAATGGAATCACTCTTCCCGAATCAAGCAAAAGTCATCTAATGAAAGCCTCTGTATTATCCATAAGGGGACAAAACACAGGATTGAGTCCTCACAAAATGTACTAAAATTCTGCTTTACTAGGAGTGGTTAACAATTAATAGATGCAAGACAAATTCCAGGTGTTATTTCCTTGGTAAGTTCCAAAATGGCAGAAATCCTACAGTAGCCTCATATATAATTTCTAACACTGACTACATTTTTAAGTGCTTAAAGGCAGCAATCTGACCTCTACTGAGATGACAAGATATCCAACATGAGAGGGAATTCTGTAAAACTCAACCTTCACACACAAAAGCTGTGACAGCACAATAAAATGCTTATAAGAAGAGAGCCCTTTCTACTGCTGATCTGCTTACCTGAGTCCAGTTACAGCACGGTTCTGCTGAACACACAAATAGAGACAGCCAACATACACAGAACCCAATCACAGGAACTTCATACGTTTTTCAGTTCTACCATTTCTAAACTCCAATTTCTCATGCAGAACTGTTTGGTTTAGTAGTTTGAGCATGAACTGGCAGACGCACAGAAAACAAGATCAGAAGCCCCATCTTCTGCAATTATATTCATTCTATCTGCAGGAAAGCGTAGCAAAAACTAAAGCCATCAGAAGCACGGAACAGCTCTGCAAAACAGGCAAATCAAGTCATGACAAAGACCATGTGCAACATTAGCATAAAAGGGAAAAGTAGTATGTTGCCAGCAGCTGCCATGACCATTGGCTGAGTAACAGAGAAGTGCACTGCAATAATCGCAGGCAGACACACTAAGCTATATGTACAAATACATACAGACTGAAGAGGTGAACAGGTTTCCATCTGTCATATGAAGCACAAGACTAATGCAAATTCACAAAGCCCTATTTTGCCTGCCTGTAGAGATATACTGCAGACCTCAAAAGACAGAAAACGGTATGAGCTGTTACTTCAATATTGCTATGCAATGTATAGAAGGAAAAATGCGTCGCGCTACATGCAGTTTTATTTACAAAAGGGTATGTATCTCAAGAACTTAAAGTAAATAAACCCTAAATTGCAGCAAGCTGTAAAACAGAGCAGAAACTTAAAGAGCACATCTTTTACAATTAATACAGAACTGGAGAGAACACTTGACTTTACAGGTCAGCTCAAGTTTTACAAAACATCACTGTGTTACATACAGCATTACGGTGGTTCTTTAAATGCTTACAAACAGCAATCCAGAAACAGCACACATCTGACAAAAACCAGGCACAGGACAGTGCAAAGAGGGTATTTCCAGAGTATCACTAGACAGTGGAGCAACTGCAACTAACCCATGACTCGTCAATTCACCAGCTACTTTTGGAGTCTGAATAGTTGAACAAGGATAACTACAATAAGAAGTCTTCCATTTTTTTATTATACATCCACCACATACACTTAATTTCAGAGTTTTCAGATGCTGTTTCTCTGCATTTTAACGAATTGCAATTTCTATTAAAATGCACATACTATCTCACAGCAAGTGAGTCATTCACCACTTCCTGGCATAATAATACAGAAATGAAACTACTAAGTTGCATCTGCAGAAGTGAAATTTGTAGAAGTTCGTACAACATCCTGCTTAGCAGAAGGTTAGTGAAGACCACATCCATTAAGATACACATTTTAGCAGTTACACAAACAAGAATGTAGTTCTAGTCTCAAAAGACTGAAGGATAAAATGAAGTTATAATTACTGATTTAAATAATATTTGAAACGACTGACTGGAAAAGAGGAGGTGGTATTAATATGAGTCTTTTAGTTATCCTGTGTGCATCTGTTAATTATTTGTTTCAGAAAGTTATCATAAGCAAGCAATCACAAACATTTTAAAACATTTATATAAAATCACAAAATAATCCTTTCAGCAGGAGACTGGACCAACTACTTCTAAAATTCACATCCAACCAATATCCCCTGATCTTATGAAAATCCAAACCAAGCTGATTCCGTCATTCACTTTCAACAAGTAAAAATAATTTTAATTTTCTGAAAAAAATGCTATATATATATACACACATGACATGTATTTATATTACATATGTATGTCTTTAAAAAACCTCCCAGAAGGTGAATACATCTCAGTAGTAAGAAATACTGGCTATAAAGTACTTAGATTATAAAGAGTTGAAACATTTTCTCTCATTACTATTAGTCATGGGTAAGCCTGAAGAAGAAATCTACAATTAAAGATACAGATATTACAAAACTTGTAATATAAGCTATAAATTGTGGGGAAAACTACCCAACAAACCCACACAAGAGAAAAACCAGTAAAGAAGGACACTATGAAAGAATTAGTCAGATTGGTCATGAACAGATAAATGCAATCTAATTACTGCATTGGTGCTAGACAAGACTGAATAAATGTTTAAGCAGTGCTAAAGAACAATTAAGTAATAATTTTGTTCTTCCAAAAACAAAAGAGAAAGGCAGAATGACATTCATTTCTTACAATCATAAAGCAAATACTTCCTTTTCTCTTGGTAGGAAGAAACAATATACAGCTAGTATTATTAACCATATCATGTCACCAGATGTGGAGAGCTCGATTCCAGATTGCTTCTTAAAGACAGCCTGCATCCATAGGGAAGTACTGCTTGGGTATTTGCCACTTAGTAAAAAAACTAACTAATTCAAATGACCCTCATGTAAAATTTTAAACTGGAAATGGATCAGGCCAGCAAGAATGACAGCCTTTCCTGCTTAAGCTGATACAGATTTGTACCTTTAAGATTGCTTTGAAATGTGTTGAGTGAAATGGTGGGGAAGACAGACTTTTTCAAAAGAGCAATCAAAATATTTCACAATATTCAGCATTTGTCTTCCTTTAATTCTTTCAGACTACTGACAAGTAGTAAGCACATACAAAGTCTGACATGTTCTAAAATTAAGCTATGTTAATCCTCCTTTGCACATAAAGGGAGAATCTTATTACCTTTAAGCAGTAATAACACAAAACAAAATGAAATGAAGTTTTGTGCTAAGGAAAGCATAGAATCAAAATGGTAAATACATAAAGGAGACCTTTTATTAGTCAAATTACCCTCAGTAGACATGAAGAGCTGTCACTTTAACAAGGCCTTAGGAAGAATGTGTGTTAAGTGTTTAACTTCTAGGGTTAGTACTATAAGAGTAACCTTGACTCTTTTATTAAAGTGACTGCAATAATCTGTTACTAGGAATAACAGAGAAAGTAAAATAAAAAACAACAAATCTGCATACATTGGAAAAGTGAAGGCATATAAATAGGTCTGAACTAATTGTAAACCAGTTAAAATTCATCAATAATCAATACAGAGATGAACTTCAGTGTGGCACGCTTTTTTCCCTCCCCTGAAATTAATTGTATTGATCTTTATAGCTGTTTTGTTAATACTGGGGGATAGACTACAAAACCAACTCCATGAAAATCTCCAAACAAAACAAAAAGAAAACCCCACTATTGGTCATACATCTTATCTCACTGTGGGCTGGAAACCTCTTTTTAAGATGAATCACTGTATTTTGTTTAGGCAGCTTACATAATAGGAACAGTCAAATTTGCTGTAATTTTTAAAAACACCTGTCTTGATCTAAAATACAATTTTATGAAGGGTTTGTCCACCTAGATGTAAAGATCCAGATTATCTGGTAGGTATTGGCCTTCAAAAATTCCAGAAGTCAGATTGAGTTAATTAGCAACCTCATACTGTTCTGAAAATCTATTTTAAAGACACTTATCTACCTTGACACAAAAAGCCTTCCAGTTAAGGCAGGCAATATAGTTAACCAAGAAAAGAAACAAACATTATAATAAGCAATAAACAAAAAAATATGAAGAGCTCCAAATTTTGTTTTAAAGGCCACTACTAATCTGTATTAATAACAGCTATTCCAGGTAGCTTATTGTTCACATTACACCAAGCAAAACAATAGTTAGGGAAAATAAGAGGAAACTACATTCCTCTCCAGCACTGGAAGGTTATTGTGTTCACATAATGAAGACAAAAAAACCCCAAAAACCCAAAGTAAACAAGACTGTCTAGCCAGCAGTGGCAATGCTAAGCAAAAATTAAATCCCTAGGAGAATTCAACTTAGTAACTAGACTATTGTAAGAATTCACAATTAAAGGCAGCATGTTAAGAGTCTGGGATAGGTTTTATTTCTTGATACCACCTCAAGCCATGCCAGAGGCCGCAGTCATTTTTATTACTCAGTATAATGGAGCAGGTTTGATTTGATCACAAATAATAGTTTTAAGATACAGCTCTAATTAATGAGGACTGTTGGTAACAAACCCCTAACACCTCTACTTATAAATTTTTTAAAACCTGTTTGGATTCAACACCCATTTCAGTAGCTCTTTCAAGATATTACGAAGGAAATGCTTTTCAGTTTTACTGGGCAAGAGTGGAGAAACAGGGAAGATGCTTAAGAATAGCTTTAATTTAAGTCATAGATACCAGACTCATTAACAAAATATGGCAAGGTACTTCTGGTAGGTCATTTACTTACCTCCACTTGCTGATTCTTGCTCTTCCCCTTCAGGAAATGTAGCCTGGCTTGGTAAGCTATTCCTAGAACGAGTGACTGACTCTAAGTGTGAAGCCCTTCCCAACAGAGATAGCTCATCTAGCACCTCTCCTTCTTTGGCTTCCAAATCAGATTTTGAAGTGGTTAACTGTTTTATGTTACCTGGTGCCATTAGACTATTTGGGTCATTTAAACAAGCTACAGTACCACTGTCCAGGCTTAACACTCTGGCACGATTCTTGGCACTGTTTGTGCTAGAAGTCCGTCGTGTAGATCTTTTTTTGCTAATTCCTTCAGAGCTTACGTGGGTTTTGTGAGCATTTTCAGAGTCTGTGCCCCCACGGTCTTTAGAAACGTATTTGGTCTTTAAAGCACTGTATTTTCCCTCAGGAGACTGGCATGAATGGGAGGTGGTGCTGGAAGAGCTATCACTGCTGAACTGGTGAGCTGACTGCATGCTTGATGTCCTGCTCAAGTCACTTTGATCACTGGAGTCCTCATCGTGACAAAACACAGCACTGTGAGGCTTAGTACCAGATACACCTCGGAAGGAAACATATTCCCTGTGCCGACTTGAATCAAAACTACTAGCCCGCTTTTTTCCTGTCCTTCTCCGGCTGGATTTGTGGGTAGAGGCCGTCCGATGTATTAAACTAGAAGATTTTGGTCGGACATCTCCTTCTTTTTGTTTTCCACCAGTTTCTTTAGCAGCTCTTGAATCTACTAACACAGCTAGTTTCTCACTCTGCTCATCTCTTTGTTCAGCAGCCTTCCCATGCGGCCTGTCAGCTTGTGTAGTCAATTCATTGGCATGTGGGTTCTTATTGGCCTCTTCTGAAGCAGAGGCACCAAGACCTTTCTGGCTGTGCATCTCATCAGATGCATTAGAACCCTTTACCTCTTGAACACCACCCAGAGGACTCACTTCCACAGCAGTCCTTTCGCTACTAGTCCTTTTGTCAGTAGTAGAACCACTGTCATCCTCTGAGTCGACACCACAGTCTTTTTTCTTACCATCCTTTTTCTCTTCTCTAGGGGACTCCTCCTCGTGCTCTGACAATACACTTTCTATATGCGTTGAGCTAGTATGTTCACTTTTATAGCTACTGATGGTACTGTTGGTGTCACGATCAGTCCCGCTGCAGTAGCTTTCCGTTGAACCACTGCTTCTAGTACTCAGGCTTCTCAGACTGTCCATACTTTTGTCTGCTTTCAAGGATTTGCTCTTCCCACTCTTAGTCAATGGTTGAGGGCTGCTACTTTTCAGAATGTCATCTAATTGAAAAACTCCTGAAATGCAAGAGTTCTCACCCAAAGACTCTCGGGATCCAGAAGGGGGTTTGGAAGCTTCTAACTCACTGACAGGATCTAGTCCTCGTTTTTGCTGATAGAGGGGGAAGTCATTTAGTGAAGCATCTGGAAAAGCAACAGCAGAGCTAGAAGTCCTTGGTACACCTCGAGGTCTATGATCCTTCCTATAAGAGTGAGAATGCAGAGTTACCAGCGAAGCTACTTCTGTGTCGCATGCACTGTTTTTAGACTGGTCCACAAGCTGGTTGTTCGAGAGGCACACTTTGTCACCGCTGTCCCTTGGCAAATCCTGTCCAGAGGACAATGAAGGTTGGATGGAGACAAACGAGTCGTTCGACACCAGACGAAAAAGCTTCCGATCAGTTGCCAAATCTGTTTGAGTACATATTTTAAAATATTCATGTAAGTCGTATAACTTGCTTTAAAACTATTTGTTTATATCAAACAAAGTAAATGAACTGAAAAATCCAATTGCAAGTACTACGAATTCGTCACATTACCATTTAAAAATATTTTATAACATTTGGGCAAATCTGACAGGCCTTTTTTTAATAAAAAAAGAAACCATCAATACCAGCTTATCCCTAGCAACTGATAAGACACAGCAATGATGACAAGTCCCCAACCTCCTCTATTGCTTATGTGTCTCACACTTAATATTTTTACATATCCCAATGTTTCTTAATTATAGAAGAGTACCCTACCTTTCTTTTTGGTTCCTACATGCATTAAACAAACTTTTAAGTTATTCATGAAAACACAGTAAACCCCATTAAATCTGAAGTCACTAAAAACCCAGTAAAAATCACCTTTCCTACCAGATACCAAGTAAGTTCAGTTAGCAAGGATGCAATCACTGTCACAAGTCTTTTTGTACTATAATGAAACTACCTACAAAGTCACTGAGTTCTACTACCTCTAAAAAAAAAAAAAAAAAAAAAAAAAAAAGAGGTGCTTTTGCTGTTAAAGCACATCATGAAGATTCCTTGTTAGTTCTTGGTTAAAACAATCATTCCTGTCACCTATCACAAGCAGTCTCCCGTAAAAGTGCCCATCTGCAGGCAGCACTAAAACAAAGGCTACTTTCCCTTTTGCTACTGTCACTAAAAACAGCAGATCTGGAGGCCAAGTTAAGTTTCTATAGTTATTAAATTCCTGCAGAGTATATCTGAGTGCATGCAATTTAAGAGACTTCACAGTTACATTACTCAGCTGAAAGTCACAGAACCCTGCTGCCTATTACATGGCTACTTGTGGTGCTCAATTTCAAACACACTTTTTGCACTGAATCACACAGTAATGGTTGACTCATCACTAATGGGTGATTAGAACCATTAGATGGATTAAACTGGCAAAAATGAAGGTGGTATTCTCAGAGTTAATTTCCTCCTAATCATCAACAAAATCAGCAAAGATTTCTGTTTGGTTTTATGCTTTGTTTTAGTCTGAGCAGGTCTTTTCGTGACAATGAAGCTAAACAAAAAATTGTTGAGTTTTGTTGCAGAACACAAGCTAACAGTTTCCTTAGATAGTAGAAAAAAAATTTACAAAAATTCACCAAGCTCTGACAACTTGCATCTTGGAAGCAGCCTACAGCTCTAAGAACATAGAGCTCTGTATGGGGCTATTTACTTTATAGAGAAGCCCACCACATTTCTGTACTCGTAAGGAACGGAAATTAATCTACAATGAAGTCAATTAACCACAGGCCACCTGTAGTTTGAGAGATACTGTCTAAAGAAATCTAAGTTAGCTATCTTTCAGCAGTAAGGTGACAATAAATATTTATTACCTGCTGGAAGATGTCAGAACAACGAATACAGAGTCAAAGAATAAAGTTATAAGCATTCAAATTACAGTTCTCAGAAGCTTGAGTAATTAAGAAAGGAAACAGGGAACTTCAGGATAGAATCTAAGAAAGGGTATTAATAAACTGCATGAATTTAATTAGCATATTAAGCAAAGAGTCTTTGGTAACAAAATACCATGTTTAAATATGGAGAAGAAGAAATTTTACCTTGTTCTTCACTCCCTTCTTTACATAGGCTAGAACTCTGGCCAAGACTCAAGCTGATATCATCAGAAGTCTTGGCAGTGTCAGTATCACCTGCAAATTTTAAGAAAAAGGAGTACTAATGCTCAGAGTATTAACACATACACCTACAGTCTTAATTGTCATGAAAGACTGTTGCTTGTATTTCTTCATTTATAGGTAAGTAACAATAGTTACATAATTACAATAACACAAGATTTCTTTTAGATACTAGTATTATCTACTCTATTTCTATTATCTTCCACAGAACTCAATGGCAATCAAGATTATTTTTTCCCCTTAAAGGTGTATCTATTGGAATATTTCTTTTTGCATGGTTGTCTGTAAAAAAAGGAGGGGCAGACTAAGAAAACACTTGTGATGGTCAGAAAAGTAATGAGAAAAACAAAATCAAGGGGACAAAAATTTGCATTCAATTTTTTTTTTTTTGGCCTTATTATTGGCTGGTTAAATTTACAAGAAAATACTCATAATATACAAAATTATTATCTTTTCTTCTTAGAGGAGTTCACAAGGGCTGGAAATTACTTCAGCTAAATGTCAAAACAACAAGAAGTAATCAAGTCATCGATATACAATACTAGAAGGGTCATTGGTTGCACTGAACTCAGAATAGTAGAGAGAAGTCTACCCCAACCAACCCTTTGGCTCTGCATTTTATAGGCAAATGGAAAACCTGTCATTACATGGGAAGTAGAATACAGGCCCCAGAATATTCTCTCCTCATGTTTTGGTCATATCATTTGCATGTCCAAAGCAGACTTCCTCCAACTAGCAAATGCTGTATTTCACTCAAAAAAAGAAAAAAAAGAAGTCAAGATGACTAAGGTAGACAGTATTTGGAAACAATACAGTAAACAACAGTGATTTGAAGTGCTTCTGCAAGGTAGTTTAAGTAGCTAAAAATCTCACCTTTGATGGTTGCTGCTGTTCCCAGACGAGATAACCCAGATCCAACCTAGAAACAGGAAATTATGTAAAAAGCTGTACACTTTCAGGAAATAAACAACTGTTATTTTCTATTACTCCAACACTTGCATTTGCCTATTTACCTAGGAGAGGTTTTTAAAGGCACAAAAGCATCCAGCAGCACAGTGCTGTAAAATTCTGACTAAGTTTCCACTGCAAAGAGACGAAAAGTCATGTAATTAAGCATCCAACTACATCACAGCACTATTCCATTCAAAAGCCAGCATTCATGGAGACTTTATTACACTGATTTTAAAAAGCTTCTAATCTAGGAGTTCTCCTTACTTAATGTGGCAACAAAGTACAAGTACAGTGCTACACTAATAACTGCTGTTCTAAAACTTAACATTTCATGCTGTGATTCTGGTTGTCTAAAATGCTTAAAGAAAACAATCTTAGTATAAAACTTATCTGTTCAACACAGTAAACAGCAAGCTAAATCCAAAAACTGCTCCCATGTGAAAAGATACATATTGTTGCAGTTAATTTCACATTCAGTGGCAAACCAGCAGGCATGGTACCTGCTCATACAAAAAATTTCACCATTTAGGTTTGCAATCTATCTCTCTAAATATATCCTATAATCCATTGGAGATTACTTTGCAGAAATGCTAAAGAGAATTTGGTCTTACCTTCAATAACATTTTCAATACAATCTCTCAACTATAAATAGCATACAACAATGCAGGTGTCAGGTAATTAAATCACTCAGAACCAAGATAGAGGAAGAACACCCAAAGGCAAAATCTGAACCTATAATACATAAATACGATGGCCATTTGATTGATAGATGTTCACTTACTGGTATGCTATTTTCCAAAAATTCCTAGTTAAAATTACTCTGGGGAAAAGAGCATAATTCTACTAGTTATTTTCTGTAAGCACAGCAATTTCAGGTAACCTGAAGATGTGTGCAGATCCTATTCAGCCGTAGCACGGAAGAACAATGGCTTTATGTATAATCTGAAAAAAGCAGCTAAGAGCTTGTTTAATACATTTTCTTCACAACGTTGTCACACACACTTTTAGTTACTCATTTTGTCATGTTTCAACAGCTTTCCATTCAATAATATGCTTTGATGAAGGCTGTCATTGAATACAAATGCATCATCACAGGAAAGTTATTCCACACTGAAAAACTGAACAGAACTCAGATGCTTACTGTTTATGTTCCCTTTTGATGCTGCACATTCAATCACAGAGGAGCAGCGAACACTAATTTTCTTAGGACAAATACATTCTAAACCCTATACTTCCTCGCACAGTAGGTTGAACTTCTCCACATGCTTTAATATTAAAACTGTTATGTTTGGAACGTATTTTTTCCAAAGACCAGTCAAAGAACTAGTCTGGGCATCATGTTTCTATCTTCCTACATGGACCATCGCTTCCTATTCCTTTGCACCAGCAAACACCTTCTCTCTTGAAGGAAAATCTCTTAAGAGTATCTATGCTGCATAAGTGAGCACGATTCAGATAAAACACCAACATTAGCATACCACTGCACTTCGTTATCTACTGCTTACTCAGAGAGCTAATTAGAAGAACATGATATTGCAATACCATGCCACGGACTTCATGTCATTTGAAGACCGGTTCTGTGTCTTTACCATGATGCTGCACTGTTCCTTATCAACATAACTGTACAGCCTGGCCAGTTCATCTACTTGTCCTCATGAAGGGTTGATAAAAACTAGCCACAACCAGCTACATGCCACAGGCTAAACAGAAGGAACCCGACACTTTGGAATTTGAACACATAAACCTAGTAGACATAATACAGAAACAGAGCAACTTCCCCAGTGAAATTCAAGGCAACTAGAGCATAATGAAGTTACATTAAAATGTAATAAAGTCACGTTCTTCAGCACTTCCATCTGGCAGGACTCCCTATTAATTGCTTTCTTCCCAACCCTGCTGAGTAATCAAGGAAATGAAGATTTTGCAGAGGGCATCTAAAAACCAAACAGTTTTAGTCTTCCCATTTCTAGCAGTTTATCTTTCTTTATACTTTAGCAAACTAACTTTTTGACCCCAAAATCTGACCTATCAGGAACAATAACCTGCAGAATCCCATTCATAACTGCAAGAGAATCAGCAGTGGAAATATTCTAAGACAACAGAAGCCTCCCCAAATTCAGCATTTAAATTTACCTATTAAGCTTTAAATGGCAGAACAAACAAAAGTAAGGAAGACAAAGTTAGAACACAAGCATGAAGATATAGCTTGAGCTACCCAAAGGGACAAGGGAATTCCACCACAATGGGTTCTTAGTACTATAGCTCACCATACTCTGAGCCATTCTGACTTCTTAAATCAGAAGAAAGCTAACTGAGGAAAAGGGAATACTCTCTGATGGGACAGTAGGTTTCCTTTCAAAATCCAGCCATTCCTGATTTAAGCACAAGATGAGTTGAGAGCTACACTGCTGGGAGAATGTAATGCCTTCCTAATAAAGCAGTTACATACAGAAAAGAAAATTGCTTTATCTAATATAAATTACCCAAAACCCCCGCAAAATAATAGGAAGAGGATATCTGTGGACTGCAAAGCCAGCAATACTAAAGCAACAACTGTAGCAGCTTTAATTCTTACCTGGTTGTTTGGGTCTATCCCAGCATAAGAATTGCGTGAACTACAGCCAACAGGGGGAGTTGCTTCTCGTATGAACTCTGACATCTCAATCCCTCCTCCAGGGTCACTGAGAGAAACAATAAAAATAAAAAATCAACACATTATCCCCACCAGTCAAACAAAATTTTGTCTATGTTGAGCGCATATTCAAAACAAATATTCCCTTCTCAAAAATCAGGGGCTCAAATATATCCCAGTATCTTGGATGAATACTGGCTGTTTGACACAGGAAGCTCAGTCTGAGGCAGAGCACTCTATACACTGTCGTAGAAACTGCTGCCACAAAGTCTGCCGCCAACAGCCAACACAAACTGTGAAGACTTAGGCCCTATAAGGCATTCCAAAATGCTGACATTAAATTCTCTCTGTCTTTATATGCACACATGTTTCTTTTGGATCAGCTGTTCAACTATAACACCCAGAAATTCATAGAAAAAAATATAGAAAAAAATACTACATAGAACTCAGAGCATGGAAAGGACTCCTGGTCCTTTTCCTTAGACTGAATCTAGGAGCAAAAGCAAGGATGGCTAATGAAGAAAGCCACATGTGAAAGCTTTTAAACTTGCAGAGATATACAGGGCCATAGTATCTCTCCCAGGGATGCAAACCACATCTTTCTACTCAAAAATAACTTCTCTTCAGATACTTTACAGTCCCTACCAAGAAATATTTTGAGGTACAACATAGATATTATTGCATCCTACTGATTTCACCCTTTCAGGATTAATAACTATTGGTTTGAAAGTATTTCCTAGAGCAACACCATCAAACTGCAATTCCACATAATTCAGCTTGTCAAAGGCAAATATTTTATGAAACAAAAGCAAGTTGGATTCATCCATTAGGACAATAGGGTCTGAAGTCAGTTAAGGACTAGACACAAGGATCCAACCCAGCACTGATTGTTAATTGCAAAGAGGAAGCAGATGAGGCACCCTTTTTCCTATCCCATTGAAATTCTCTTCAAGCACCTTGATCCAGGAGACTCCTAAACAGAAGTATCTGCAGGGTAATTTGACACTGATCCTCTCTGCTTCTTCTCAAACATGAGCAACAGCTTCTCAAAAATCAAATTCCAGCATTTGCTTCAAGTACACATGCACAACATTCATTCAGTCAGACCAAATACACTAAAGACAAAGGCCCTCTGAGGAAAGGAACGGAAATGGACAGAAGCACTGCAAGGCTTACTTAATAGACAGCTAGTCTTATAGGAAAATCTTACACAATAAGAACAACACATTATAGGGTGCCCTGCACAGGGCCAGGAATTGAAGTGATGATCCTGGTGGGTCTCTTGCATCTCAGCATACTCTGTGATTCCAATAATTTCTGAAATACATGGACATCAATCTCATTGCAAACAAACTGTCTGTACACTAAAGGACCTGACACATGATTCACCCTGCAGCATATGTTAAGCTGTTGTCATCTTGAGAGAGAAGTAAAGGCACAACCTCAGGAATCACTCTAGATAATATAAGAAACACTACATTCTTCCTACATCAGAGGTGACACAAAAAAAGGATAGTTTGAAGTTAGGAATATATTCCTTCAATAAAAATAAGTTAACTTAAAAGACAAGCAGCTATTACTTAGCAGAACAACTATGGTCCAACTCCAGTAAATTAAAAAAAAAGAAGTGAGAAGCCACCATTTTGTTACAGCTCAACAATGAGACAGGAATACCCTTGGAGATGGCTGTTTACAGAGCCCTCTCTGACCTAGTATTATCAATTACGCTGAGGCAGGTAAGGAAAATCATTTTAAAAGATACAGCACCAGCTTCAGCCAAGCATTCCTTCTGTAAGCATTTTAAGAATACATAAGGACATAACACGAATTTAAAGACTAAACTGAAAAATTATCATAATGTTTAAGTTCAGCGTACATTACAACAACAACTGAAGATGTAATAAAGAATGCCTTTCACAAAAAGATGAAATTCCTTTCCTGTTTGAATAATTCATTGAGAAACACTGCATGTGATTAAAGTACATCCTATGAAGTAGAAAAAGAAGTCATTGCAAATAAGCTTTCATGCACAGAACCAGGTAGTTAGCCAAAGAAGGCAGCAATTTTGTCTAAAACTGAACCATCAGACATCAGCATAAGCAACAACAAAATCCATCACCGCCACTCTACTCACAGCTCCTATGTTCTGTGATAGCACACACAAATGAATGAACAAAAGCTAGTAACAAACATCAACAAATAAAGCCTGCAGGAAGAAGCAGGGAACAGATTTCTAGGACTGACCACTATATGCCTAAGTACCTGGCCTTTCGCAACATCCAGAGTTCTTTAGGAGCTACTTGACACTAGTGCTGTGGCCAGGCCTTCCTAATATGAAATTCTACAATCTGTTTCTTACAGTTTGCTGTCTTCATTCCTTAGGCAAGTGTTACACTTTACAGTTTGCAAACAAAATAACCTCAGTGAAGTTACTACACAAAGATTTGTGTAGTGAAAAATTACATCCAGCAATAGAAACTGCTGTGAAAAGAGCACTCAAAGATGACAAAGTATAAAGATTTGTGTAGTGAAAAAGTACATCCAGCAATAGAAACTGCTGTGAAAAGAGCACTCAAAGATGACAAAGTAAATTAAACTACTATTTCTAATTATTAATAACTCTGAATGAAAATTACTATCTGCAGGTATGTCTCATCAGCATGTCAGAGACTAACCAAAAGCCTGAAGAAGCCATAAGTCTACATGAATTCATATTTAAAATCTGACTTAGGCTGACGAACTACAGAAATCTGACATTCAGACCAGAACTTCAAGGGGTAATGGGAAGTAAGTTACTTTGATTTCTGGACACAGCAGAGGAAGAGTTTTATTATTTAATGTCCAATAAAAGAGTAGGATAACTAGTCAGGAGGCTGCTGTCAAAATACACAAGAACCACTGCATGTACTGCAAACGCTAGATCACAACAGATTCAAGTATTAAGAGAAATTTTCTTCCAAGCTTGAGTCACTAACGATAGTCAAAAATAAAAACTAACTCCAAATTCAAGAACAGGTCTGCCAGCCACAGAAAACTGCAGGGAGAATAAATAGCAAAGGCAAGGCAACAGTCTTAGAGATCACCTTTTTAAATTTTATTTGCTCATATTTAAGTAGACTCTAAATATTTCAAAGATACAATATTCTCCAGCTACTAGCTTTACTTAGTAGAAGTACACGTGAAATTTATGTAGCATCATTATTACAGTTCCCCCATGCTGATGGAGATCAGGAACAGAAGCACCACCAGATGAACACTTTATAATACTTTGAACCATAACAGCCACTGACAAGAAGCTATATTCATATATCCAAAAGAAGGATTGACTTAAGTGTTTTAAATTATTTATGTGGGTCCACTGATACCCAACAAAGATCAAGCTTGCACTGCTTCTTCTGTATTTCTAGGAGACCAGGAGTCTGTATCCCCTCTAATTGCTTTCATGAAAGCTCACACAAACATTACTATACTAACACCTGACATATGAAAACAGCAACTCACATTCCTTTCCCTAAATTAAGACTTTCTTCCTAAAACATTAACTAGAGAATTTCAGCTTTAGAAAGCGGACAGCAAAAAAATAAACAAGGCATTTCTAAAGAAATGGTAAGTTGTTCTTTGCTTAAACATGCCAAAATTTCATGAAGAGAAACCCCCATCCACAAACCACAATTAACTAAAGATAAATGAGCAGTTCAAGCAAGCCCACAAATGACAGCATATAATTTGTTAGACACCTGAAAGCACCACTTGGATGATAAACATCTTCAGAAAAAAAGAACAGCAGTTCTTAGAAGCTAAACAGAATCCTGAACACAACCACTGCTTAATCCTGCAAATAAATATACTAAGATTTGTATCTAAAGTGCTCTCTGTGACTGCATATGTGGCAGGGTTTTAAAAACTCAAGGATGGCTTTGCAAACTATACTACATGCATATTTATTCACATACATGCTGTAGCCTAAGCTATCAAAACTAATATTCGTATTATGCAAATATTTTAGATGGTATCTCTGCTTAGGTGTCCCCTATATCCACCTTGTATTAGGGGAGCAGAGTTTAAAAATCACAAAACCCTACGCACATGTTCTCTTCCCAGACCAGTTTGGGTTTTTATTAGTGCTCCAATTTAACTTACTAAGACGGTTACAGCTCAATATTAAACACTCATTCTACATCCCATCTACTGGTTTGAATGCTACCCCAGAGTTCTTGTAAGCTTCCAGGCAAAGATTAGTGTATACTGTACATCCCACTTACCAAAAAGTAACTCCGTAATTTCTGCATTGACCTTGTTCCCAGTTCTAGTTAAGAGACCTGAAAGTGGGAACAAGGATCATATACAAGTTAATGAAACTTTAGTTGGCAAGCAGGACACACAGCATTAAACTAACCTCTACTTCTGAGCTCACAATGCTTATAATGTAGTATCTCGTCCCATGTCAACTGCTCCCTAGACAAAACAGAACTGAAACATCCAGAAGTAATTCACAACACTAGTAGAAATTCCCTTACCAACTTTAGGCCCCTGTTTTGGAAGCAAAAGCTAGATGGCAAAAACACCAAACAAAAACAAAAGCCCTACCAAAAACAACTCAGACAAAACACCTAAAGGTCACATCTAAAACATGCATTACCAAGGTTGTATGAGAAAGAACAGACCACTAGTTTACTTCCATGAATTTTATTCAGCAGAATAAGCATTAAGATACAATTAGGGAAGCAGTCTGCCAAAAGACCTCAGTACAGTGTTGGTAAGGTACAGGGTGATCTAAACAGAGTCACAATTAAAATCACCAGCTTCAGTTGCCAAACACATAATGGAAAACGGGTCAGGTTTATAAAAGATTGATACAAGAAGTTACTGTATATCAGCTTTAGAGGAATCTAAGACATGGTTTTTGCCAACAATACCTGAGCTGAGAGAAGACACACAAGAACCTAGGACCACGAGAAGCTACCCCATATATACACGGGAATGTCCTTTTAGGCTTATCATTTTAAAGAGCAGCAGTTTAACACTTCCTTTCTTTAAAAGCATCACAATAAACACACTCAAGAGGCTTCTTTCAACCACGTTTCCTTAGTAAGACACACAATCTTTTTAAGAGTCAGGACAGCATACAAATCATCTCACTTTGAAAACTACTCATGGCTACTAGTACCGGAAACTCAGAGACAAGATAAAGGTCATCTCTAAAAGCTAACAATTCAAGGTTGATTTATTTCATGCAGTTTAACTTTCAAGATGGTCTCAAATTATCTAAGGCAGGCAGAAGCTTTGATATTAGAGCTCGTAACATCCAGAGTCTGATCAAACTGGTTAAGCTGGCCTTGCTGATGAGTCATCTTTTACTCTTTCTCCAAACAGTCTGATCAGACGAGGAAAATCTCTGGCTACAAAGGAGATCTCTGGAAAGGAATCACCTCCTCTTGACAGTACTTCAGAATCATCATCGTCATTACTGAGCAGAGCAATTGCAGAATTTCCAAATTCACAGCATAGCATTCTCCTTGAAAAGACTATGACTAGAGTCAAGCATTGTATCCAACTCCTGGTTTTGCAACACTAAAATTGAAACCCAATCAGACACTTCTCCTGGTGAGAAAAGAATCAGCATGTAGCATGTGATCTTTGACAACTAGATTTTTAATACCACATCTACGACTGAAATTAGATTACTTGTACTAATTATGTTCATTAAACATTTAGTGACCTAATCAGCTCACATTTCCCATGCTATTGTTTCCAGCATGTTCAACACTGCTCTTGAACTCCTTTGGAGGAGTACTAGGAAATTATTGTGAATGCATAATTTCAAACCTAACACACAAATAAGTCTACTTTTCAAGACCAGACTTAAAACCATCTTTCAGAACTACAGAGGTCTGTATCTATATTCCCTAATGTTTAATCTCAATCACCATTCCAGTTACACAGCTGATGAAGACAGGACTGTTAGTCATTTGAAGGAGTATGCAAAATTCAGCAGACAACTTACCTGGGCCCATTGCTGTCTTTCCTCTTGGCTGAAACACTGCTTTGTTCTGTTTTTGCACCTCTGTCCATATGCTCACTGGCATTCCTCTCCACAATTTCTCCCTCATCCAGGGCCCTGTGCAAACGGTAATTCACCATCTTCAAAACGATAAAGAGAGCTGCTATCACTGGGCAGTAGACAGCTACTATCATCATGGAAGAAGGAAGAGCCTTGCAAAAAAAGAGTAAGAAAAAGTTAATGAACACAAGGTCAGATATCCATAAGAACACTCCCTACATTTTAACTGTTTGTCTAATGGAGAAAATATGATAATCCTGAAAGTTACACCACCTACAGCCAATCTTCATGTGAAAAATATTAGAAGTCTAGCAACATAGAAGAAAGAAACCATTGCACTACCAAAGATACTAAATCACCACAGCATTGCACTAAATAAACTTGTTTGACAGAAGCTTGAGAACCAAGTTCAACTCTCTCACTTCTTCCAATGCTTTTGCAATGGAAGACGTAGACTAGGAAACTTAGAGCTAGCATGTGTGAGACAAATATTTTTAATTGCTATGAGCAGAAAAAGAAGGGAAGATTTTAAGCACATGAAAAGGCAACCAACCATAGGGTGAGATCTTATTTCAGGGCTAGTACACAGCACCAAGTCCATTTCAGAAAAACTTGATGCAAGTTTGACAGCTCGGCTGGATGGGAGAAAACCTGCTTAGATACCAAACACTGGTGTTTTGACTTCACTTGTCACCTTCCAACAGCTACTGCTGCATGACAAGACACCGATCAGTCACAAAAGCCAAACTGTTTCCTACTTGCATACATAAAGAGGTTGCTCGCATGTGTGACTCACACACTGCACAGCAGAACACGACCTGCAAGACCACAGGCAGCAAAGATTTGTGCTAGATCATTGTACTCCCATGGAAAGGTAGCCAGCACACGTTCTGAAGAAAATTTTTCACGTTCTGAAGAAAATTTTTCATCTGTATGAAAGGCAGCCAGAAGCCACATTAAAAAAAACCCCTCAGTCCTGAATGCAACATTTGAAATTCCACTCAAAGTTAAGAGTGGAACGCATGCAGCTCTTGCAGAGGTAAATAAGGCTTTTACAAATCAATCACTTCAGCAACAGGTAATTGACAAAGTCCAGCCTGACAGGTATTTAGGAGAAGTGTTTGAAGAACTGGCTAAACTTCAGATTTCACTTCAATGCATTCATTCTTCTAAAACATGCTTTGTGTTTTTAAATTTTGCCATTTCCCTAGGCAGTGATTTAAACAAAATGAGATATTAAGTCTCAGTATTGATCAAAAAAATGACGATTTCCTTTACAAAAGCAACAAAAGTTTAGGTTGTCAATTATTTCACTGCACCACTATCCTTTACCCTGCTCATGGTGTAGTTGAGATACACCTCCAAAATACAAAAATACACAAAGACATGTGACAAACAAAATTAAACATATGATATCCAGCTTGAACATGAATGTAGTAAATGAGTAGAACAAATGAGCTGCCTTTTTAGACCTCATGGCTGAAAGACAATTCCAGCTTATTTTCGTATCTCCCTAGAGAGACCATGGGAAGAGAAGAGTCATCATTGATAAAAAAGCCCCAGGAACATCTTGCAGAGTCAAAACAATCCTCAGAGTAGAACACAGCGATGCCTCTCTAACCAGTGTATAGAAACATTTTGAGCCATTTAAAATTGACTGGCTGACAACATAGCATAACATTATGCAATGTAACAATCTCCTACCTAAAACTATTCCCCTGAATCTTAGAAGGATTTTAAGTAGCATAACTCAAACCACAGTAGTCAGCCAAACAATTTTAAAGGACTCAACCTGGTCATATGCGCTGAATAGAGAGGCCTCCTTTTCCTTTTCTCTACTCATTTTCCTCTTCTGACTCTTCAAGATGCCCATGGAACTTTGATCACCATGACTCTTTGTAACCTCCATCATCAGACAACCATCATCAACACCTACCTTTCCTCCAAAACAAGTTAAGTCAACACTGAATTTAACATTTGAAGCAGGCCAGGCAAACTAAGCTGCAGTTTGCTAAGTTTAATTTTGTATGCTGAGCTGGACATCATCATGATAAACAGAGATTCATTCACCAAGCATCAGCTAAGGAGGAGAAAGAGGAAACCAAGCTACTTAAAACCAGCATCAATAAGCAAACAGGATCCACAACGATATTGCATTCCTACAACCCCTGACGCCATGCTAGAATGGTTTCCTCAAGAAATGAGGTGCCTCTACTTCCAAAAACTTCAGAGTCGGTTCCCTGCAGGCAAGGGCCAGCAGATCAACTTTGGGAAAATGCATGAACTTCCTGTACCTGCTAGGCAGTCTGCTACCCCATCACACACAGCTTCAGCTTTCCTCTCCTTTAGAACACCCAGTGTTCAGAAGCCATTACCAGAAGAGTCAGACTAACGCTAGATTACAAAAGCTACACTTACTCCATAAAAGACATGCCTGTACTTTTCTGTCTAGAGAGCTCACCAATTTCTCCCCCCTACTCCGTCAGCAGTGAGGTCACAGTATATCCAGTTTATCTTGCAAAATCTACACACCCAGTTTTTCAAAGGAAAGCGTTAAGAACAAGCACCAAAAAAAAAAAAAAGGCAAAACACCTCATGTAACTTGCAGCAAACCTAACAGAAAATTCAAACTTTTTCCTCACATCCTGTTTTCACAGGATTGCAGAAAAATTATTAAAAAGCTAAGGTAACTAACTACCTTTCCTTCTTCATTTTTGTAGTACATCCTCATCTCAGAATAGGGTATATGTTCTTGGAATAGAAGGCATTTTAGCTAGCTTAGTCTGCCATATGAACACACTTGACATCAAGTATCATGCTGTGGTGCAGCACTGCCACCCATGGTACCAGCAATTTGTCTGCAGCACAACCTCAAGAGGAAATTTACTGCAGCCTAAGCTAAACCACTTGCAACTTCCATTTTTCTTAGCCAAACTTAGAAGCACTCAACATAAATTTGGGGTCTTCTCCCCACAAAACAAAGCAAGTTAAAGTGAGATTACCATTTCCAACTGTGCTCAGCATTTTACCACAATTGAGGAGAGAAATGTTTCTCACCAGCATCCCATGTGATACCACCTTCAAGACTGGAACACAAATCTAAGTCATACAAATTTCCCACTAGATTACATCTTAAAATCAAAATAATTTCAAATACTAAAGCATTTTAATTGAGCCCAGTACACTAAAACTCTCAGGCTAGAGTTGTTACTAGACACCAGTAGGCCACAAGGCTACAGCTGCAATAGTATTTCAGAGAACACCCATTTTTACTGCACATTTCTACTCACTTGCATTAGCACCAAAAGAACGCATACTCCACAGCAGTCATCACACCAGAAGCTGTTGTGATGACAGTATAAAGAGCTACACAGAGCCATATAAAAACTGTTTGCTTTTAATTATGTTCTGTTGAAAACTTCAGTTATCTAATGACTGAACAAAACTCCTACCCAAAATGATTTCTCTGAGTCTTAAAGGTGAGCTAAGTAGTTCTCTCAAATATGGGGGGGGGGGGGGGGGGGGGGGGGGGGGGGCGGAAGAGGGAAGGACACTGATTTTGCACCACCTTTCCCCCAAGTTACTTTCCAAATTTAAATATTTCAAGTCAACAAATGCCAGATATACATATGGACAAAGGTAAGATGGTTAAGGAGGAAAGCACAGTTAAGGAGGACCATCTCTTCTGAAACCTCCTGGCTCTTAGATTAGCTCACTTGTATCACAACACACCTTTTCTAAAAGAGTAGGTAGAAAAAAGTTTAAGCACTCCTAGATTCCAATGGTCAAAATCGAAAAGAAACCTCCCACCATCAGTTCCAGCACTAAAATATTGCCACTCAAACTACAGACGGTCACTATCTCAAATGAATGTTTCCAGCACATATGTGCCAGGAACCAGAGAAGAATTCAATGATCATAGGCTGTACTACATCCTTATGAAGAAACTAACACGACATGGAACCTACGTAATCTGATTACCTAGCTTTAGCTAGGCCCCACAGATGTAACAAAAATTTCACTTTATTTTCAAAAAAGAAATGCATTACTATGAGTGTTTTTAACAGCTAAGTCTTCAAAATCAAACTAGATTTCAGATTCCTACATAAAGGAGTCATCACCTAAACATTAAGGAGTAAGTAATCTAGTTAAAAGGCTTGAAAGTAGAAGTATTTTGAACCCAGAATTTTATAGAAACCGTTTTACTGGAAAAGAGGAAGGCTCAGAAAACAACAGACATAGTTTTGTTCTTAATTCTTTTTTATGGACAGAGCCCTTAAGAACTGCCATTATCTGGAAGAAAGTTAAGTTACAAGTTATCTAGTTTTTCACCAAAACCTCAAAGCATACAACCAAAACTTGAGTAGCCAAGAGTCTGCAAGTGTCTTAGAACAATATGGCATAGCAGGGATTGCTATCACAAATTGAATTTCAATTATTTAACATCTTAATTTAAGAAACAGGACATATTTCAAAAACTTCAGTGGAAAAAACTACCATGTGAAGCTACATTTATATGACCTACTTCTATAACTATGTACACAAGTCAGGAAATTAAGTGAACTGTTGACTAAACGAGCTCGACTTTGACAGACAAGTTCTGTAGGTACATGTGAGCCCATCACCCTAAGCAAGGTACAGTCCTGGCTCCTCTTCAGTCACTGGCAAAATTCCACAAGCGCCAGAGCCAAGACTTCACCCCCTCATGCACACGTGGTGGGGCTGAAACAGCATTCCGACTAGGGGAAGTGCTTTGGCAGCCTCCTCTCTTTCCCCTCCCCCTGCAACACTGATGCATCACACTGGCCTCTGCATTCAGGGTATTTTTTTCAACTCTGCCACTAGATTTTACGAAGTGATTGGACAGCTTCCCCATAAAGAAAGCACACTTTCTTCTCCCGATTTCAACTTTGCATTAGAGTAAAAGCAGGGATCAGCTCTTACGACAGAAAGGCACAGCAACAAGCACAGTTGAGTCTGTTACTGAATACAAGTACACGAACAGGATAGACTTAGCTAGTCTAGAAAGCAGAATTTTTGTATGTGTACTGCCAAGAACACATACAAAATTTTTGTATGTGTACAAATGCAAGAACACAGATTCAAGCTGCTTCTCTAAAGCGGGTACATCTTACTCTAGACCCCAATTCCTTCATTATTTACACGTTTATTTTGCCACACTTCCAACAAGCACAGTTTAACTGTACACACAAGAAAAAGTATCCAGATTGCCAAAATAGATACGTTTAGGTATACATTGTACGGGGTACAACACTCACTTGCACGTGCTTAAGCTCAGAAGGCAGATGAGGGACTAAGGAAGAAAGGCTGGTTATTGAATTCTAATGTTAGTTTTTTTAAGTAGGTCTGTACCACACATTAAATCCATCAACCCTAACAGCACGGGCATACACATACAAAGGAACACAGAGATTTATGGCATTACTTGCTGACCACAATCATTACCAGATTCCATTCTGAAAATACCAGAGCAACAAAACAAATGCACAGAAAAAAAAGAACAGCAATGTTGGATGCACTAAACCAAGTCTTAACGCAGTAAGTGCACCTAAATTCCCATATCCTGGTGCATTTTATTCCTGTTGGAGGTTAAGTAACATTTGGGGGAAAAAAGTGATTAGCCTACTGCTAAATGCATTCAGCCTTGAGAGCCAGCTACAAGCAAAGTTCTTTTGTCTTTGCTGCTACAAAACAAGTTGAAAATAACTACAGTTATTGCTGATCCAATGCATAAAAGCAATGCTATGATCCTGTAATTCTTTACATGGGGAAGTTTTATAAGTAATATAAAACCTGTCAGCAGTTTTTCTATATACCTTGATTTTTTAAACACACAAGGTTGTCTGCCAGTAACAAGTCACTTGAAGCTAGCTTAGAAACTCCCTCCTACACACCAGTGAGCCATGCTCAGAATTCAGATTACAATTACCTAAGACTTTTTAAGCAAGTTCTGCTTATTTACGTATGTCCTACAGCAATGCAACACTTACTGCTTTTTACTCTGAAAAAGAGCTTACGAGATGCTAAAGAGCTAAGATGACCAACACAGTTCTGCCTGTTTAGTTTATGTCTAGACAACACTTAAACCGTAGAGGCTGGAAAGAGGGAAAACGGCCAAATATGATTCAATCTCCTTTAACTTGTGACTAATCTCCCTACTTATTCTCAGGGAAGTTGGCACTTGTTGCATCTTTAACTTGTCCAGAGCTATGAAGCAAGAGAATTTCTCTGACCTCAACAAAACCCAAAGCAGCTTGCTGCTGTCTGTCTTTTCCCCTTACAAAGGAAAAACTGTTTAAGCAACACTGAAGCTTACCCCATTGTATGGGTAACTGAAGCTTACCTACTGCTTTAAGAGCAGCAGGAGACTCAAATGCTGGCCCAAATTTACCATTTGTCAAAAGACCTATGTGCAACACAGATCAGTCCCCTTTCAAAAGCCTCCGGTGCATGCAGGATATAGCTGTTCCTAGAGGTGTGGTCAGCCTTCTCAGCAAGGCAGTACTAATTAAACAGACTGTTCTGTCAAAACAGAAAAGCAGTACGTTTATTAAAAAAATTGTAAAACCATATTTGAAACCAAAAGTTGTCTCCTCTTCCCATATTGTGCAGAACTTTCAATAGCTAGAGATTCAGAGTTCTCATACAAAGTATCTCATTAGCCAAAAGTTTTATCTAGCTGTTCTCAAGTAACTTCAGTTTTAAACGCAACTTGTCTCAAACTTTAGTTTCCCTGCCAGCAGCCCAGAAGTTTTCAAACAAAAAGCATTAGAGCTGCCTTTTTCAAGACACTGTAATATGAATTAAAAACCATAAAGTTGTAACCTCCCTTTCCACACTAGCTATTTCTTAGTATGAAGCATCTCATACTGCAACCTTACAAATTGTTTTTTAAATAAAGCAACTGCCTGACCTCAGAGCTCTCAATTTCTGCAACTGCACTTGCATATGATTTTATCTCCAACATTTCATTCACTAACTACATTTTCAGAAGGCAGTGTCTACTTTAGGTTGTCACAGCATCTGGCAATCTTGCAAACGATGTTCTACCTCATATGCACAAAACTGGTCAAAACACACTATTATGATCACACTCTTCTACTGAAAAACCCAAAGTAAACTATTAGCATTTCATAAGTTAAACACAGCTTACACAGGGAAAAAAGCTACTGGCCAAGAGGAAACCGCCCCCTTTTCTTGTATCTGATCACACCTCTCTTCTATGTGCTCTCAAGTCCAAATGTCAAGAAAGTTTCTAGGTTTAAAGGTTAGTATTTTAACAGCTTTGACTGAAGTGTCAGGTACAAAGATATATAGGACAGGAATTCTCGCAAACCAAGTACACTGAAATCTGTACACAAACAAAAAAGCCAGACTAACTTCTTGTCGATAACACACAATCCAGATACACCGCCAGCCAACAAACCACACTACAGGCAAATAAAACTTTTAGGTTATGGAACCACATCCCTCCACCAAAATCAAAAGTCAGAAACTGATACTGCTGCCAGCCAGAAACACTGGCTTAATCTGACAGTTCCTGTAGAAACTGCCTTTTACTGACCTACCAGGAGATCAGCAGCGGAAGCTGCCAGAGGTATTTCCAATTTTGAAGGAAAGTAAACAGAAAAACGAAGGCAAAGTGCCAGCGCCTATAGCCCCGCCGCGCCCCGACAGCGCCCACCCACAGATTCCCAGGAACGGGTCGATGCTCCCGAAACGCCGCAGCCGCGATGGCGGGGCCGGGGCGCGCTCCCAGCGGAGGGGCCCGGCCGCAGGGGCCCGGGGCCGCTCCCGGGGCCGCGCCGCGGGCAGGGTATACATTCTCCGGGCCCCGCAAGGGCCGGCCGACCCCCGGCGCAGGCCGGGGCTGCGCTCACCATGTACAGGGTGAAGGGGAAGCCGAGCAGGAAGAGCCACAGGTAGAGGTGCAGCGCGTTGACCCCCGCGCCCTGGTGCGGGTCCTGGTACCAGCCGCCGCTCAGCGCCGCCCACACGCCCTGGCGCAGGATCTGCAGCACCTGGGAGCCCATGGCGGCCCCGCTCCGCCGCGCCGGCCCCGCTCTATCCGCCCTGCGAGCCCGGGCAGAGCCGCGCACCGCCCGCGCTCCGCGACAGCCGCAACCGCCGCCGTCGCCGCCCCAGCAACGCCGCCGCCATCTTATGTCCGGGCCCGGGCCGCCCGCCCGCCCCCGCGCCGCCGACGGACCGGCGGCCCTTGCGGCAGGGGA